GAGGTGACTCTGCCATCCAAGGAAACAACCTGTTGTTTAATTTCGTGTACCTCAGACTTCAGTGCTTGCACTATCTTGGTCGCCATGTCCTCTAAATCAGATTTCGTGGTAAGCTGGGGAAGAATGGACCGCCATGAGTTGTCCTCATCTGCACCACTGGACCCGGAAATGGCCGACAGTCCCGATCTCGTGGGGGATTCAGCCTGTGGCAATCTGGGGGTCTGGATCGGGGATAGCTCACGATCTGCCCGCTGTATGTTAGGTGCCAACGAGGCCAGCTGTGTCCGCCGAGCGGTGTCAGGGGCAGATGCAGTCTGCTTGCCTGGCGTGCTACTCACTGCAGTGAGGCGGCCGGTCGCCATCTTGGCCGGATTGTCGTGCGGGCCCGTCCGCTGATTGCTGCCGAAATACTTCCGAATACCGCTGGAAGAGGACGGAGGTGAGGGGCTCCGGGGTCGGCGAGGCTGTGACATGCAGGGAGGGGGTGAGTAGGGTCAGTATCGTCCGCTGGCAACGTGTGGGAGAGGAGACTGTGCAGAGCTCCGGGAAAGCACGTCCTCACTCAGCCATGCTCAGGCCACGCCCCCCTCTGCTTGGCAATTTAGCATAGTGTGTTCAGTAAGAGAACCCTTATCTATAAAGAACTCCTTGTGTTTAATTTTTAACTCCTTATTTTACATTCCTTTTCAATTTGGTTAGAACACAATCCTCTTGAATTGCTAAACACCTGCTAACAATGGACATTTAACTTCCAGTACCTGCTGGGTTAAAAGATCATAATTATGAAAAAATATTGCATTATTTATCGCATGTCATTTTTTAAAATGTATTTTCATTTAAAAAAAAAAATGTCTTTTTGGTTTCGGGGCAAACTTTAACAATGCTGGGTGATTTCAATGGTTGCCTTTTTTTTTTATTAGCATGGTTCACATCTTCCAAAAAACAAAACCATAACTGTTTAGAGACCCTGTCACCATTCCCATTCAGGGAAAAGGTAATGAGAGGGTCGGTTTAAAGCCCACCCTCTGCGCACGTCCTTTTCTTCTCCGCAGTGATCCTTTGCTGTCGGGGGCAGGATAATTGGCCAGCTTGATCTGCTTATATATACTCAGAAAAAATGGAAATAAGTGGAACTCCTCCACTGCGTATGTGCAAAAATGAATCGCTTTTTTTCTTTAATAAATCAGTGGAAGAGAGAAGTACATAGGTGGGTTTACAGAATGGAGGGAGCTTGGGTAGGAGTAACCAGCGGTATGACCTTCAGCTAGTAGTATAAAGGTGTCCATACACCTTACGATTATCGGACAAAACTTTTCGTACAACGGCCCCATCCTGCCCCGATCTCAAGGTTAATCTAGCCTTAACGAAAAGCACCTGGACGAAATGTGGTAATTGATTTGCCGTATTTTCGTTAGCGCAAGCGCAGTGTAGGTCATACGACTTGACGGACGGAAACGCCACCAACCTTACGAAAATCGTACGATCTAGCAAAGTTTTCAAACATGCTTGACCGTCAAAAGTCGTACGATTGTACAGTACTATCGGTCGGGCACTCTATTCACACGTTACGATTGCCGTACAAAAAGTCGATCGCGTACGAAAATCGTACGATAATCGTAAGGTGTATGGGCACCTTAAGCAGCTGGCAGGAGTATGGTAATTGACACTCATTATGGTCTCTTATGAAAGCCAAATATAATCCAATTTTCAGCTTTACATCAAAGGCGGCACACAGATCTGCTATGTATCCTCTACACTAGAAAAAAAAAGAAATAAGAGCCAAGAGATCAAGATGGCCACCATGAGTATTCCGGCAAATTCACGCTAAGAATATAATGGTGACATAACATAGAGTAACATTATTGTGAAAACTGCAAATCGACACAATAAGTCAATCCAGATCTAGACAGCTGAAGTTTAGCTCTGCTGCTCCCACATCATGCTTCTGTTTGGTGGGCCCAGGCGTTGCACGTTAGAACAAATAGAGTAAAGCTGGCCATTCACCTATAGATTATCTGCAGATTTTCTATGGTCCGATGGAAAAAGTGCAACAGATTCCTCCATCTACGCTAAACTGTGTGGATGGAGGAATCTCCCACTGGGCCAAGCGTCAGTATCTTGCTAGTCGGCCCCGCTGGCTGTCAAAATACCTGAACAATGCCTGCATCCATTCAGATTGTTCAGGTATTTTGACAGCCAGCGGAGCCGACCAGCAAGACACTGAAGCTTGGCCCAGCGGGAGATTCCTCCATCCACACAGTTTAGCGTAGATGGAGGAATCTGTTGCACTTCCAGCTGACCATAGAAAATCTGCAGATAATGTGTATGGCTGCCTTTTAGAGGGCCAGGCCGAGCTCAGCATTACTGGTAAAGTGGGTTTGCCTGTATCTCTGGATTTATTAAGCCTTTGCTAGTAGTGACCACTGTCATATAAAGTGACTGAAATGCATAAATTGTTTCCAGTCATTGTTCACACTTACAGCTCACTAAGTATTTTGATGCTGTTGCACCAATCTCCGTCAGATCTGAGTATTTTTGCCTACATCTGTTCCCTACAGGTACGAAATGATGAAGGAAAAGTTATCCGATTCCACTGTAAGCTGTGCGAGTGCAGCTTCAATGATCCAAATGCAAAAGAAATGCACCTTAAAGGGAGGAGGCATCGGCTGCAGTACAAGGTGGGGACTAGACTGGTGACAGGAGAATTCTGTTTATCAGTAACTGTACAGATTGAAGTAAGGATATGCCCATACTAAATTGCTTTCCGCCTTTTCCTCTTCTACGAACAGAAAAAAGTAAACCCAGATTTGCAGGTGGAAGTGAAGCCGAGCATTCGAGCCAGAAAGATCCAAGAGGAGAAGATGCGTAAACAGATGCAGAAGGAAGAGTACTGGAGACGGCGAGAAGAGGAAGAGCGGTGGAGGATGGAGATGAGGTGTGTGTTGGAACCTGTTTGGAGTGATTTAAAGTAAAATGGCATACTGTAGTTATTGGTAAAAATATAAAATGCCGCATGTTGACTTCCTATTCTGTGCTATAGCCATGTTTTCTAGGTCTACAGAGCCAGGGCCTTCCTTTGGCTTGTTTGGCCAATTTATAAATGGCCTGATTATGCCTTATATAGAGGTATAGTACACAAGTTACAATCTTAAGCCTCTCAATAGGATACTGGTGAATAATTACCCAAACTAAAGTAACATTTACTTAACTGTTAGCTACAGATGGGTTGTAGAAAAAGCATTCTCTGCAATGCTTGTCCAATACCTTGTGGGGTTTCATGTCCTTGACCCATCTCTGCTGAAGGTTCATAGTCTGCATGAGAACCCCCACCTATCTGTTCAGTTAAGCTGCTTAAGCAATGCAAAAATGACACTCCACCCTCAGAGCAGTATACCTTCTAAACTTGGAAGGCACTGAAACTTGGATACCGTCACCCTGCCCATGCTGAGCAAACGAAATTGACACTGTCTAAGCAAATGGCTTCTTCCAACCCCTGTTATATTCTTTTAACCTGCTCTCCCTCGCAGCTCTTTCCTTCACAACCCCTTTCTGGTGCTTTCAGGTATGGGGTAATATGACATGCTACCCCGGCTCCCCCTCGGAGGCTGATATCAAAGCCAGATGCAGAGGAAGGAGCTGTGAGGGGCATTGGTAAGAGTATAAAGGGAAATAGGTTTACCTCTGCATGGACAAGGAGCTGAGTTGTCAGCTAGGCACTGCTGATTTTTTACGTTTGTGTTTTTTTTTTCTGTTTGGCGGTTCCTCTGAATTCCGTTTCTCTTTGTAGTTCAGTCTAAGCTCATAGTTTGATACAAAAATGAAGCCTGTAGTATTGCACATGGTTAGCCAGTGACCACCTAACATACTGTCAGTATGTTTATAGTTGCCACAGTCTCGCAAACTTCTTGCAATGTTTGTTGCTACAGAAAGTATCGGTGATAGGATTGTGGGAAAGACATCCATCCCCCCATTCCCGCCCCCCTTGTACGAGCTGAATTTGTAAGTGTACAGGCTGCTTCAGGCTCCTGCCCATCCAATGAATTCATTGCAGGATCTACTCTGATCATTGCAGGACATGTGCATGACCTTCATTCTTTACAGATGCATGTCGTGGACTGGTCACCTTCATCCTGACATCAGGACTTTTCTGACTACATGATTGTTCCAGGTCACTGACATACTTGGCTGTATAGCCTTGTTGCTGGTACCTTGAAATACATGCGAGTGATGGTGACTTCAATATTTCTATCCTCAGAGGTTCTCGGTCCTCTTTGTCGCAGGTGCAGGTTCCAGCATTATAAGCTTGCCATACACACTACAGTCCATACAATCTCTGTACCATTCTTTAGATTTAAGAAAACTTTGTAGTGCCTACTGAAACAATCTACCCAATTTACACCCAGCCAAGGTATAGGCAATCGTTTTTGATTCTGGAGATATAGGTTCATTTTGTACTGCTTTACAGGCGCTACGAGGAAGACATGTACTGGAGGAGAATGGAAGAGGAGCAACATCATTGGGATGACCGACGGAGAGGGCCGGATGGAGGATATCACCATGGTCCTCCAGGACCACCTGGATTATTGGGAGTGAGACCAGGGATGCCACCACAACCACAAGGACCATCTGTGAGTACAGCATCAAAGGTGCAGCTGTTGGATTTGAGAAAGTTGGGATGCAGTCTGTCATATGCTGCTCAGTCCTGTTAAAGATCGCCAGTCACATTTTTTTTTTGACCACCGTTTTTAAGATCAAGTGTAGCTTTTTCCCCATAGAAATCTGCCTCCGTTTTTAATTTTTAGAAAATAAAACCCAACTTTTTTTTGGGGGGGGGGGGACACAGGAGGACATTTACTGTGACCCAAAACTCAGCATATAGCGGGCTATATGCTGATAGCACAGAGCTGCGCTGTGATCCCGACAAAGGACGGCCTGTGAGTGTGGGTGCTGATCAACGGTGCTTATCCACACTCCGCACCAGTGCAAACAAGTCTGGCTGCATTTCTTGGTAAAATCAACTTTATTGTTCCAGAATACGCATAGGTCTGGTCAGAGCTGCCAGACAGATACAGAAGGTCTGCTCAGACCCTCCGCACTCTGACACAGACAGACTATGACTAAGCCTTGCCTGGCTGAACACATTAGATGTGGAGGGTCTGGGTGGACTATTTGTATCTGTTGTCCAGAATAAAGGTGATTTCAGCTGATGTTACTGGAAGTGCATCCGGACTTTTGGTTTGTATTAGTGCGGCGTATAGATGAGCGTCATTGGACAATCTTTTTGTTTGGTATTCAAAGCATTTGTTCAGCGGTCAACCCTTTTAAGTAATGGGCACAGTGTCTTGTCGCCCCACCTTCCGAGTTCAGTAACCCCTTTCATGACCTCTGTGGAAAAATCTGCATCTCCTATCAGGAGGGGAAAATGTAACGGCCATTGCGGACTTCTCATTCTGAAAATGCTATTTGCCTGGTATGCTGATACTTAGGGTTAATATTTTTTTTTGAAACCCTGACCCAGCTGTAGAATGCACATAGGGATCCTCTTTGCCCATTTTCTCAGATTATTGAAGCAAGTGGATCAACATAACAACCAAGCCACTAGCACTTTGTGGTCAGTGCCCATATGTCTCTCGGGAAAGGATCACGTGAAGTCTCTGTGATCCCAGTTTTAATGTATGCAAACTATCTTTTGGTTTCAGCTTTGTTTCATACTAACCTATTTTATTGTTATGCAGCCTCTCCGACGACCTGATTCCTCTGATGACCGATACGTTATGACCAAACATGCCACCATCTACCCAACAGAGGAGGAATTGCAGGCTGTCCAGAAAATCGTGTCTCTGACTGAACGAGCGCTGAAACTTGTCTCTGACTCCATGGCTGACCAAGACAAGACTAAGGGGAAAGAGACGGAAGAGAAGAAGGATCTCAGTAAAGAGAGGTAGGGGAAACTCCTAGAAGTGTGCTATCATGTCCATAAAACACATCAAATCTTTATTTTATTCATATGGTACAACCACTTTAATTCTTACAGGAAACTAGAGGATTTTGCGTTTTTACAATGTATTAATTTTTTTCCTCAAGGCGTAGAAAAAAATTAATGCGCTCACATTAATAAAAAAGGGGAGAAAATGTGCATCTATCAGTTATTGTATTCTGTCCTGCAGAGCATTGCACAAGCTACTGCAGACTCTTCCCTTGCCTCCAGTCTGCGCAGAGCTATAGATTTACCTTTATGGGGCCAGCGGAAGTCATTGGTGGACAAGTGCGTTGATATCATTGTACTTGTGCGCCAAGGAGATCTGTGAGTCCCCCTTCTGCAGTGGCAGATGAGACATGTAGTCGTTTATTCACCCTGTGCCAATAGGTAAATTAGAATATTTAAGGGGATGGGGGGTTTATTAAAAAATGAAATAAAAACAGTCCCATAGAGGGACTTTAATCTGTAAAAACGCCAGACTTCTGTTTTGACAACATACCATTCTCATCCATTGTGTCCACACACATTCTCTGGTTTCATGATAATTCCACATAGGGTAATAGCCAAGTTTTGGATTTCACAGTTTTAATATTGCATTGTGTAACTGTGGTTAACCCTTCATTTTTCAGAGCACTGAAAGGAGTCCTGCGTGTTGGTGTACTGGCTAAAGGATTGCTTTTACGCGGTGATAGAAATGTCAGCCTGGTTTTACTCTGTGCCGATAAACCAACCAGGGCTTTGCTGACTCGCATAGCCGAAAATCTTCCCAAACAGCTTGCCGTAAGTTGTGTGCTTTGGATTGCAATGTCTCTGTAATAACGCTGTATAGTACATTCAATCGCACAATGTAGATGGCATTCAAGTTCATGTTGGTTAGCAGTGTCCTCTCTTGGATTGTCATTGCTCACATGTACATTATTATTAGAGATGCACATTTCGGCCAAAAATGGTACCATGTGCAGAATGCGGATTGTACCAAAATGGCCGAAGATGCAGTGCATCCCTAGTGCATCCCTAGCTTCTCTCCACCCCGTTGGGCGCCGGTCTGTGTCCCCTCCGATCCCTGCTGCTCTCCCCTGCCTGTGTCGGCAGCAGCGATCAGAGGGGACATAGAGGCAATCCAGCTGCTGGTGCCCTCAGGAAGGAGAGAAGCCATCAGCAGACGAGGTTTTTCAGGGGCAGAGCTCGGCCTCCTGTGACAGACAGGGCAGTGAGGATGGAGAGCGGAACATAAACACTCAGGGATCAGGACTGAGTGTTTGTAAATAACTGAGGACATAGTAAGCTTACTATGCCCCCAGTTATAAATGAACAGAATGTGCTCTACATCACTTCCTGTTCATTCATGATTGTGGACATAGTAACTGATACTATCGCCTCAGTTTATGAATGGACAGGAACACTGAGCATAGAGGCTTCCTGTTCATTCATAACAGGGGCTGCAGAAAGAGATTTAGGACTCTTGTGTGCTCAATCTTTTTCGTTTTTTTTTTTTTTTTCCTCAAAGCACCTAATTTAATATAAAACATTTTAAAAAGGTTTTAGTCTTAAAAGTTTCATTTTGCTGCATCCCTAATAATTATTATGCCAGATTATGATCATTTGGTAATACGGTGTTGAATACAGCTACTTTGTTGCAGATTATTGGGTTGGTGTAACGTTAGAGGCTCTGTCACCAACTTTTAAAAATTGCACAGAAAAAGCAAATATTTTAAATGTTTACCTAAATAGATTTTTGTATTCACTTGCAATGTGCCTTTACAGTTATTAGGAAAATTGACTTCAATTCGCTAGCGCTGCCTCCTCCCTCCTTGCGTCTCATAGCCCTCTCCTCTTCTGGAAATGTCTAATGACTTTCTGTCCCCTCACTTCCCTACACAACCTTATGTAGCTGCTGAGGGCAGAACAAGGGGGATTACTATAGCCACTTGAGTGACGTCTCTGTCTTCAGGGGCTACTGACATCTCATCCAGCATGGTGGCACCCAGCAGCATTCTCAGGGATTTTGGATATCTACACAAAGCAGACTTTTACAGGAAAATAACATGCAGAAAAAGCATCAAATACACATAGTTTTATGGAAAGACTTTTGTTGATGTGAATGGTCTGGCGACAGGATCTCTTTAAATGAACTTTGTTTTTTGGGGGGTTTTTTCCCTCATTTTATTACATTGCCCTCCTAAGAACCTGTATTTGTTTTGCTCTGTTCCTGCAGGTGATCAGCCCTGAGAAATACGAGGTGGACTGTTCCATCACAGATGCAGCTATTATTTTGAATTCCTGCGTGGAACCTAAAATGCAAGTCACAATCACGCTGACCTCTCCGGTCATGAGAGAAGAAAGCACGAGGGATGGAGGTTGGAAAAACCTTAACAACATTACTCCTATGAGCACTTGTATTTTTTGTTTTGTTTTTTCCTTCTTGGGATGAGGGGTTGTCACACAAAAACATGGCGTCACCGTTCCTACAAGATGCATACTGGATTTTTCAAATGAATCAGTTCAGATTTGGGGGAATTTTCAGTTCCATTTTCAGCTCAAAGTAAACATTGAATAGTCCACGCAGTGTAAACCATTTCGGCCCCCTTGTTTCGGTTTATGATGTATTTGAGGAGAGTAGACAAGTCAGGGGCTCCCTCCTTTTAATGTTACAAGCTGATCAATTTGTTTTTCCCGATTGGCATAACAGGATAAATATGGATCATGCTCCATAAAGATGGATAATGTAGTATGAGCAGTTTGCATCTCTAAAAAGTAATTGATGTGACGCTAGTGTTGCTGTCGTGGTATATTATGTAACCCTTTCTGGTCATCTACTTGCTGTGAAAGCAGAGACAATGTCTGCAGTTTGTTGGTTCTGTCATTATGTAGGTCAGAGAATGACATTTGTTTCCTTAGCAGGTGTCTAGGAAACTGCTCACTGTAATACAGGCAAGTTCCAGTCTGCAGTAAATACTTCATCGTCCCTTAGAAAAGCAAATTCCAGTCCATCTTGTGTTTAGAAGGGTAGTAGTACATACCTCTTTTGGTTCTATGCCATACACAAGTTTCACAGACATTAAGGAAATGTTTTTTTAGCTGTCCTTTGCATGCTTGATTTTTATAAAAGGAAACAAAGAAGTCGTTGATCTGACCTAGTGTGGATCCAGTCCTGGCATCACACTAAATCTGGGTTCTGTTTATACAGTTTTTTTCTTTTTGTCTGCAATACATTGTTGAGTTTCTTCTTTACATACAAGGGTTTTCCCACTTTAATTGATAAGTGGACCACAATTTTAGACCTCTCTGTGCAGCAGTATATCAATCCCTAGTTCTATATTGCCTTGGCCAGCTAAGCTCAACTCTTCCTAAATCTGCTAGCACTACACTATGATATACAAAATGTGTTTTCACCTGTTTCATTGTAGGAGAAAACTACTACCCAAACGGGCCAGTTATATGCCACATTAGGTTCAACCTAAATTGCTAATAATTTGCCTTTCTGACTGCCACCCTTTAAATTTGCCACCAAATGCGGGCACGTGGGCAAAGGTCGAGTAGTGGTATTCTGAGCACATACTGAAGTTTACTATTTATGCGTCCCACTCACTCTAGTAGGTTTTTGTTTTTTTTCTCCATGGATGAATCTCTGGAGATCAGCGTGTCCAGTCCTCGGCACGAGTCCGTTCAGGTCGGCTGATGTGCTCCTCAGCCTGATGACCGCATAGACTAGCCATACCTCTGGGACTGGTTAATTCATCTGTGTTGCAAAATTGGTGCATCTTATGTAGAAGTCCACTTTTCAGTTAAAGTTGAAGGTGTCTATAATGACCATTATACCTTCTGCTTAAATAACAAGGTTTTGCAGTGCGCAGTCTGTCACTTAACCTCAAAATGGCTAATTTAAACAGTCACTGATCGCCTATGGACTTCCCTTTTGTTTGCATGTCTTGCTCCTGATTCTAGATGTCACAGCTTTTGTTACATGAAAGCCAAAGTCTACTAGAGAAACCCGTTTTGTTCAAAATATTGAAACGTGTTAACCTTGCTGTTGAGCCTTTCCACCAGCAAGTATACTTGTGTATGTTTTTCTCCATCCTTTCAGCTGTTCCTCCTAAAGCCTTGTAGCTGAGAATTGGTTCCAGCCAGGAATTTCTGCCAAGACAACGGAAGGATTTTTGACCAAGGTTTTCTAGCTCAGTGTCACACCAGCCTTGTTAATGTTCTAGAGGGGGGCTTGGTTGCATAGTGCAGGCATCTGCTTTTCCTTCTCTTCTCCTTGTTTCTTCTCAAATGTATGCAGTGTTCACACTATTTTTTTTCTCCTCTGAAGGTTATGCATGTTTTCTCTATTGCCTACAGGATGTAGAAACTGAAGTCAACAGAAATGTTAGCTTGAGTGCAAGAGGCAGGAAATTGACTTTGAATGGATAAGGAAACTTCCCCAAAAGTCTCCTTACACTTTCGCCCCCGCCCCCCACCTAGGTCTAACCCCACCGCCAAGTCCCTCGATGGTGTTTGCAACAGTACGCTTGCTTCTTAATCTAAAATACATGCCAGCACGGTTCAGCCTCATCCTTCCAGCAGCCCAACTGAAGCCTAAGTCTATTCTGTCCAGAACGCACTGCCTCGCATTGCGGACGGCTTACTTTTTTGTGGGGCAGGAGGGGGCGTGACGCGCCATTGAAGTGAATGGCACCGTAGCCACGCCCTCCGGCCGCAATGCGATCGCCCGCACGGGATCACAAGGCACATTATGCCTGCGGTCCGTTCCAGTGCGATCAAAATGCTGCAAGCACTAATTTGATTGCCCTGGAACGGGCCACAGGCATAATATGCCTTGCGATCCTGTGCTGGCCGGACGCCTCCTCCTGCCGAACAAAAAAGTGAGCCATCCGCAATGAGAGGCAGTGTGTTCTGACCAGATTCGGGCCGGAACGCACTGCATCTAGTGTGAACGGGCCCTAAGAACCAGATGGGGCTAAACTGCGGTATTGCAAACAATGCCGTTGGCCTTGGTGTGGGTGCTAGGGTAAGTATGGAGATTTTGAGGTGGGCTCGACCTACTTAGGGGGGTAGGGGCAAAAGTGTAAGGAAGCTTTATGGGAATGTTTCCATACCCATAAATCATTTGGTAAATTTGTTCCTCCTGGATGGAGACTCCTAAATACTTCCCTTCCCAGCCAATAAAGAAGTTGCTGAAACTCCTTTTTTCTCCCAAAGCTAAGCATGAAATAGTGTGGGCACAGCAATCTTTTCACTGATTAACCTCTTATTTCAAGAGCATTTTGGAAATCCAGTTAAAGGGGAACTCATTCCGAGTAACTGTTTTTTAATTTTCGGTGTACTGGATGTAGAGCATTACTTGCTTCTGGAACACTGCTACTTTCTGTCAAGCTTTCCCCCCAAACTTTGCTGCACTTAAATTAGCTCAGTGGGAAATCTGACAGATATATCAAAGATTGAGATTGGCAGCAGGAGGCAAGTGTAGCTTCACATGAGTCCCCAATCTCTCTGCTTGTGAAAGTAAATGACCGGTTTTCACTGGAGCCCTTTAAATTTTCCTGTTTAACTGCCTACCCAGTGATGATATGATTTGCAAACGTCAAATGCTTTCCTTTTTCTCCTTTTGTTAGCTGCGTGTTTCAACAGTGAACCAAAAGTCCTGAGTTTGTGGCCAAAGAAGCAGCATTGTGAATGACCAGATAGGCATCTTGTCATGTCTTGTTCACACCAGAGAGACATGCTGTCTGATAAATAAAGCATGCAGGACACTGCTCTAACCCCAACACCCCCC